TAACAATTCCCATGCGAGTAACATTGTAATTAGGTATTTGTGCAGTATATTTATAGATTGAAAGGAAGGAGTTGTTTATGAACTGATTTGCATCCAAACTGGTCTTAAATTCTACAGAAATTCTATTGCGACCAACTTTTTTAATACCATCATTGACAATATTTTTAATCTTGTTTTTAATTAGTAACTGGCCAAACTTAATGGGATGAATTGATATGCCTGATGAGGGATCTGTTTCAGTTTTAGAAATATGTACAATAAAAGGGCCTTTATCACTATTAATATATTGTTTATTAGTTTCGTTTATAGATGGGTGGGTGTATATACCGGGAGGGTTCTCTGTGGCATCTGTCTGCCTAACTTCTGTTATTACTCTTTTAGGTGTGTTAGTCAATTCGGGTTCAATTTCATTTCGACGTTTAACTCCTGTCTGTGTGAATTGAATCCTTGGTGGAGTAGAAGGCCGATCCGGGGGATCCGGAGGTTCAGAAGGGGTCCTTTCCATTGATTATTTGTAATCAGTGGAAAGGACGGGGAAACAAAATCTATGACTACTTACCAATACCAGCTGTTAGTACTAAATATAAACACGATATTTCGTAATTCCACGTAGAAAATGGGCTAATATTCACTAAATAAACAAGAAATCCCCATACCACGTGTAATAACTACGACCGTCGTACATTACTCCATCTGTCAAGATCTATGGTGCTTTGCGAAACGTCAAGTTATGACATTGACGGCTGTCATCGCTTGGGAGTAGTCTATGCTTGTTCGAAGATGCAGTGATGCAACTTAGGGTAATTTACCCTAGATTTAGAGTAAAATTTATCCTACAGGGTAATTTTCAGGGTATGAATGTTTCAAGGGTATTTTTTGGAGTAATTTCTTTTCTGCGGGTATTTTTTAGGGTAATTGCTTGAAAGCTTTAACGTTTATTGCATATTATTTAATCAACTGTCAAAGACATAAAAACTCTTAGTTTGGTGCTTTTGAACGCAACAATAATGTAGTAATTGATGAACGCATACCAATTTCTTTACCTGTCTTTTTTTTCGATTGTGTCTGTTGTCTGTAGCCTAAATGGAGTTGGAGCTTGTTAGAGTATGTACTCTGTAGTATGTTTGTTGTGCAAGCTTGTGTGAACAATGTGTAAACGGTAATTTCTTACTAACTCGATAGTTGTAAAAAATGGCATCAACGAGTGAGCCCGATCGCCTTAAACCTTACCATCACCAAGGGGGAGGAGGGGTTAAAAATTGCTGAAAAAAGTCACGTGATTAATGGACGGTCCCAAAGCAGCTGTAGTTTTCTTTCTTTAGTAAAAAATAAACTTAAATAAAGACTATCATTGCCTATGATTCAAGGTATTATGCGCGATTAGATAATTTAAAACTTTTTCACAATTTTTGTGTCAACTTACTACAACTATCTTTTCTTTGGAATTTGCAATGCAAGAAAACAATGTTTATCGCCTATAAAAAGCGAGTTGTGAGTCCGGAGGTCAATTAGCTCTTTAAAGGTGGGTGATTTTTATAGGAATTTGTTTAGGGTATTTTTTCAAAAATATGCTAAATCTAGGGTAAACTGAGACTAAGTCTGGGGTAACGCAAAAAAATTACCTGGCAACACTGCGAACATGGCACTTTACGTTGTGCGGCCATATTGAGCGGACGCAAGCGCAGAACTCTCCGCGTTTCGTATTGCAATCCGTTTGCATCACGTTTTTATTAATGTACTCCGATAAGACAACTAATTATTTCAATCAAGTAACTGATTTGTGATCTATCTGCAATCTTATTTCGAAAGAATATCTCGAACACTAGTCAGATGGCGGATGATGACCAACCTAACTTCCCGCCGGTCCCGCATGACTTTCCGACATATATAAAAATGTTATATATAAAAGTTATATATATGATTTTAGCGAACATTTTAAAGATATTAATGGAGGACATGAGTTCGTTGCCGCAGTTAGCGCGCTCGGTCTGCAATAAGATTGTCAAGCAACCTTCACGAAGGCCAGTCATAGGATGGGTGACGAAAAAATTATTATCTCGAACATCTCCTTGCTTTTGTTCCGGCAGTTGGATCCGGCTGCACTGCGTCATCGAGCGCCTCTAGTTGATTATGACAATTTCAATTCATCATCATGATCAGCCCTTTTACGTCCCCACTGCAGGGGCTCAGGTCTTCCTTATGGATGGTTAAGGAGGATGGGCCATGACCCTCTACGCTGGCCCAATGCGGATTGGAGGGTATTCATGACTGCAAATGCAGCCGGGACCAATGGCTTAACGAGCCTTCCGAAGCACGGAGTAACTCGAGATAATAATTTTTGGTCACCCATCTTCCATTATTGGCTTCGCTTTAATTATATCTTTTTAATCCTCTCAACAATGATATAGCTGTTGGTTTTCTTAAAAAAATAAAAAACAGAGATACTAATCTATTCGGATTTTTTAAACAATTGCAGATATTGCCATAAAACTAACTCTCACACATCCTACAGCCCGGATAATAGATTCAAATGAGGACGGTTCCTTGATATTTAATATATCTACCCACACTGGATTAAAGATAAATTGCAGTTTAATCAAAATCATGATTCCAGAGGTGAGTCTGTAAAATTATCACCAGCCCTTTTACGTCCCCCTATTACGTCCCCACTGCAGCGGCTCAGGCCTTCCTTATGACTGGTTAAGGAGGACAAGCCACGACCTTCCAGGGATCCTCATTTAGGGATCGGAGAGTATCAACGACTGAAAATGCAGCCCGGACCTATTGATCGTGGCTGCATTTTCATGGCGTAACGTGCTTCCCGAAATAATATTTAATTTGATCTTACATCCCGTGATCGATCATTGCGAAAGTTGCTTAACTACAATGATCGCGGGCGGGGCATGTTTTACGTGTAACTTTTTTTGCGTACAGATCATGCTTTTACTTTCTGACATATGTAAAGCTCGTGCATTTTATGGAGATTAATATTTTGTTAGTTATTCCATTTCTTAATGAAGTTATTTTCTATTAGTTTTGTTCAAAAAGTCACTTAAGAAATGCCACTTTAGCTTTTATTTCTTTATTAAAATTTTATAATACAACAAATATTACATTCGGCAGCGGCTTCCCGCGTGGTCCTCAGGGAACTATTTAATGGGATAAAAAGTATCCTATTATCTAAGTAAGCTAATACCCTATTTGTATACCAAATTTCATTAAAATCCGTTAAGTAGTTTAAGGGTATTTGACGGACAAACATCCAAACCAAGAAACTTTCACATTAAAATGAAATAATTGATTTGATTTTACACGATTATTTCATTATGTATTTAGCTGTAATATTAATAAATATAATACAATTTATATACTTTTTGACTATTTGTAAAACGTGAGCAAAATGCTCTATACGTGCTCGTATAACTTTTAATAGCACGAGTGCTCTCGATTTATAAACTGTCATAGGTTTATATTAAGTTAAATTTAACTCTAGTAACATTATAAACTGACGATACTTAAAATTTTATGGCACGGGAAATTATTCATGACAGCCGTTGTGTTGTCGTTTGTTAAAATTTGTATCATCGTGTGAGCCTTTTTACGTCCCTACTGTAAAGGCTCAGGCCTTCCTTATGGATGGTTAAGAAATATGGGCCATGACCCTCCAAGCTGACATAATGTGGATTGGAGGATAATAACGACTGCAAATGCATCCGGGACCAATGGCTTAACGTGCATTCCGGAACACGAACCTCGAAATGGTAATTTTTTTTTAGGGCATACATCCTGTGACCCTTACGAACGATCGCGAGCCGCGGTGTTTATACACTATGCAACCAAACTACTCTTAAATTAAGTTTATATAATAAAGATTAATTTATCAATCATTATCATCATCATGACCAGCCCTTTTTAGGTCCCCACTGCAGGGGCTCAAGCCTTCCTTATGGATGGTTAAGGAGGATGGGCCATGACCCTCCACGCTGGCCCAATGCGGATTGGAGGGTATTGACGACTGTAAATGCAGCCGGGACCAACGGCTTAACGTGCCTTCCAAAGCACGGAGTAGCTCGAGATAATAATTTTTTGGTCACCCATCCCGTGACCGACCCTTGCGAAAGTTGCTTAAAGACTACGATCGCGGGCCGCGGTGCTTATCCACAACGCCACCGAGCTACTTTTATCTTATTTATCAATGCATTCATAATTTCAGGAAGGTAGTTACGAACCTGTCATACAGTACCAAGTGTCAGCAACTCAAATAAACCCGCCTACAAATAGTAAACTTTACGATATCAATAACGCATTACTGAGTGACCTTAGTATCCTAAATCGCACAGATACAATATGGATTGCCGATTGCGTCGGCGACAAAATATGTGTACCAGTTTTGGACTATGAAGTTAATACTTCTATGAAGTAAGTCATAATATAAAACTGACATCTAATAGTTTACCGTCACCATCACCAGCCCTTTTACGTCCCCACTGCAGGGGCTCAGGCCTTCCTTATGGATGGTTAAGGAGGATAGGCCATGACCCTCCAGGCTGGCCCAATGCGGATTGGACGGTATTAACGACTACAAATGCAGCCAGGACCAAAAGCTTAACGTGCCTTCCGAAGCACGGAGTAGCTCGAGATAATAATTTTTTTGGTCACCCATCCCGTCCCGACCCTTGCGAAAGTTGCTTAACGACTACGATCGCGGGCCGCGGCGCTTATCCACTACGCCACCGAGCTACTCACTAATTCACGAATTATCGTAAAAAAATGTAATAAAATAATAACGGAGAATAGAGATTTATAAGTACTGATTTAATTATTATGATTAATTTATCAAATTACCTTTTTTTAGAATCTAATGCCTAATTCATAAAAAGGGTAATTTAAATTTAATTAAAACAAGATGCCCGTTGCGACCAATGAAAAAACAAATCATCGTTTCATCGACATTTTTATGTAATAATTAAAAAACTGAGGGAAGAGGGCGGTTAGTTCTAATTTTTTTTACATTTTGTTACAAATCAATGACGCCTTATTACAAACTAACTGGATAGAATATGGGAATGCGCCGGGAGCTGAAAAAGTTTGGGAACCTTTGAATTAAGGGATTAGAGCATAAACTTACACCAAGTCTAATTTTCATTCCTTATAATAAGTTATAATTTAATTAGGGATGGCTACGTCATCGGTTCGACTGACACCGAAAGGGTGACAGTGACAGTGCAAAACACGGGTGACCCCGCGTACACAGCGTGCGTATACGTCAACGTGAGAAACGTGCGCGTGCGCCGATGGCCGCCCAGATGCAAGCGGGTCGATGCAAATAACGGCATCTGTTCACCCAATCATCCTATAAGAAACAACACAAGTTGGGTGAGATTATTTAATCAATATTTAGTACATTCCACGCCAGGCGAATGTCAAGATTAGATAAGACAAAGTGCCTAATCTCAACGTGAACCCATGCGGCAGACTTGTCCAACTGATACACCCTCGGAGCTATTAAAAATCCTAACCACCATCACATACGATAGCTACATAAAGGTATTTAATTAAAAACACCACAACAATATGACCCCAAGCAAAATAGTAACTTCTTTCAAACTTGACATATCGAAAATCGAGCATAAACCATTTAAGAGTGCTTAATTTTTTGTAACATTAGGTTCGTTCATCGAAGACTTGTCGAATTCGATCGCTCTTATTCTATTACCTGAGTTAACTCGTTCATCAGCAAGATAACTGAACTCAAGACAACTGCCACACTCTTTTTCTCCGTTAAAGAAATTCCGAGTAGTTTCGAAACGATAATGTAACAGTATATAATTTGACAAAATCATAAGAAGAATTTAAATTTCCAAAAATTTCGATTTAGTATAAACAGATTAGCTAGGTAAGCCCTTAACTTTTGTTGAATCCGGTAAGCAAACCTTAAAATGAATTTTTAGAGCATCAATTTTAGTAAGTATACCGACCAAACGGATTATATGTAGAAAAACCTGTAAGAGATAACATAAACTAGATTAACTCGTTGAAGCTTTTGCTACCCAGAGTAAAAGGTCGAACCGATTCTTTCAATAAAAATCTATTTGGAATATATAAGGTGTAATATTACTGTATGCCTGGACTTTATGGAGTGGATAAAGTTAAATATGATGAACAACTTTGACTATCGGAGCAACACTCAATTAAAAAAATATCAGATGTTTCATACGAAGTTGTAATACCTACAATCGCCAACAGTATTAAACAGCTGATGATTATATATATATATATATGTATATAAATAGTAAAGTGGATAACCAGAACACATTTAACAAAATAATTTATTCTGCAAGCACCTTATATTTTATATTAAACATATTTTATCACAAGCAAACAACATCATATCATCAGAATGATTCTTGTTTCTGCAGAATTCAGGTGACATTGAATTGGAAACCAAGAGTTTGAGAAGTAACATGAAAGAAATAATCTTCACGGTTGATCTCAAACAATGTTCGTCCAATATCGATAAAAGGGGACAAACTAAAACCAAGACAATCAATTTAATCACTGATCCCAAAGGGCTGGCTACAAGAGGGTATGTTATATAACTAATACTAGCTTTCCGCCAGCGGTTTCGTCCTCACGGTCATGTTGTAAAGGTTTATATTTTTACAATTAAATATATTTTTTTTTAAACTGTATTCATAAAATTAGTTGTCATACAAACGGATAATTTTATATATAGACAAGCGACGACGCACTTCACAGTGTCACTTATTCTATTGTTCTTGGCGTCGCACCGTGGAAAATGGTAGAACAAGAGCATATCAAAAATACTTTTACGAATGTCATAATTTGTTTGATTTGGTGATTTTATTAGGATCTCAAATAATCGAATTATAATATTCATTAAGTTTTTTTATCGAAAATGCACGAAGTTACATTTTTTTCATAGGTAGAAGTACATAGAAGACGGGAGTGCCGAACTCGAGTCTACGCATATACATGTTTCAAAACCATATTGTGCAATATATATTGGGTACATATATGCAGTATTATACATTTTTGGAAAGGTTATTTCATGCTTATTACGTTACAGCTTTTTAATTTCTAAAGCAGCGACAATTATGTCAGTAAGTAATTAAAAAGTGGCATACCTTATTTTTTACTTTTCTTTGTTTTTCGTCTAAGGTTTTCAATATTACCCACGGCTCCCCACGCGCTACTTTTTATGTTAATTGATAGTCTAACTATTCAGTAACAGAATACAAAAAAAACAGCTGCGGAAGTTTGCGGTTTTAGAAAATATAAGAAATAATGTGTGAAAAGTCGGAAAATAAAAATCAGTATCTTTGGCGGTTTACCACAGACACCGTTCACAAGGACAATAATTATATTACTTTTGGAATATTTTATTTATTTAGCGATAACAAAGGAATCTTATCAAATTTGCACTCGTTATGCGTGAGAAATTACTAGATAATAAGATAATCCTATTGGACAGCTGTCGGAAGACGCACAAGAGTCTCGCAACAAAGACTACAGAAACATGCGACTTCATCATGCCAAAAAATGTTCCCGGTCTGCAACAAATGAATATGTCTTTAAAATGCTTTTGTGAACGTCAGATTCATATATAACAAGTTTAAGAAAACCATACTTAAGAAATGTAAAAAATCTTGAAGTGGAGGCAATAAAGTCTTTTAAAAGTGGTACCTGAAAGTGAACGCACGTTTACTGACCCTGATCCTGAAGCAATATTGGTACCTACCAAAATAAAAATAATATTGATATTTAGTTATTAGTAATGTTTGTAACGAGTTATATCAATCTCTGAAGCTACAGGCCTAATATAGTTTGTTTGTTCAGCAAAAAATTTTTTTTTGTATTTTTTATTAATTGGGTAATTTTGTATTTAACCGTAGTTTTAGCCTTTTTTGTCATTAAAACTTGTCTTTCTTTTGCAATTATTTTTTTTACCATTTTATTTTTGTGTTTTCCCATTTTTTTTACTTCTATAACATATAACATATATATGTATATAGAAAAACACTACAAATTATACATCATTTGAATTTCCAAACCTCACTGAATATTTGTAGCAAATTTCATTGCGGTACTACAAAAAATCATGAAGTTATACATTTTTGATCCGATAACGACCGATTCTGCCCACCGTGCGTCGCAGGCGCAATCCTTTTTTGTGCAAGTTATTAAGCTCGAAGACGCGCTCCTCGCTGGAGATTTAGGGGTCGCTGCCGTCATAAACATATTTTTATTTACTACATATATATTTCATTTTGCTGGAAAGTATTTTATTTGGTAGTATTTTTGGTGATATTCCCGCATTGGGGTTCCTTCCCATCCCTGAGAAACACCTCACATCTATGATAATCATCGATACCATATAACATCTGGGTTCTGGAGCACTGGCTTCGGACCCATCTGTTGACCGTTCTACACCTCTGAACCTCTTCGGCCTGAATCACACTGTATAATGATGAAAACTGCATTAAGATCTGTTTTATAGTTTTATTAATGTTGAAATTTATCATTAAAACACAAATTTAAAAGTAACATTTTCAGGATCACTAATCTTGGAGATATTATTTACCTTTCAACGGTTGAATTAGATGACACAGGGAAACAGTTCTCACATGTTTACACAGTAAGTATACGATTCAACCAATAATATTTTCTATATGTATATTTCAAGTAGTGATGTAACATGGAAACACATAGTGCCATTCTGTTGAGGCCGTTTATAAGAAAATTAAAAACTTAGGGAGTTAAACTTAGAAACTATAATTTCCTTTATTTTACAATAATCAAATCAATAATTTAATAACAATTGTTAATAATTTAGTAACATTAGTAAGAAACTCAGTAAAAAACTCATTCTTACTAAAATAATATTTTTACGGGAATGCAATGTGTCTTATTTTTATTAAATTCCCGGTATTTTGGCGCTGTTTCAAGCACTCCGAAATTTGATAAAAACAAGGTAAATGATAGTAATCAAGCACAAAACTATCAATCAAATTACAAGATCATGAAAGCTTAAAACAACAAATTCGTACCAACCAAAAGAATACAGTAGGTTTACAAGTAAACAGAAAACTCTAATATCGTTTTCAATTCCATTCTCTTGAACTACTCCATTCCAGTCCATAGTCACATCAATTTTTTTTTCAAGAACGAAATATGCAAAACATATACTGAATAATATTTCAGCTTTAATAAATACGACTTAATATGTAAATTGCAGGTATTAAATACAGGTGTTACGACATGGGTCGATATCAACTGCATCATTGTTATAGACAAGAAGACTTATTACAAAGATTTGCATGTAACTGTAAGTAAAAGTATTTTAATTTATTCAACAGTAGAAAAGATGTTTACTAATAAAAATAATAACCACGCTCGTTCATTGAATGGGGTTCCAAAATATTCTTGTTTGAAATTACAGACTGAGGAGAATCTATTTTGAAGTCGACTTCCTCTTAAATTAATTCAATAAAACGAAAGGTATGACCATCACCCGCGAGTTTTTTAATTATATTTCACTGCGACATTTATGTAATAAGTGCATTATACACGTGCATTTAGTAAACGAAAATGATTCTATTTTCGAAAAGATAATATTCAGTAAATTTGTGATGGAGGTAGGACTTGACTCTGCCGCTGGTGCACAGAAATGATTTCAACAGAACTACAAGAACGAATCGCATTCATTCGTAGACAAACAGAGTAACAGACCCTCAGATACCTTGCAATTTGTTAGTAGGTGTATTTTGGCTTCCTCTCACTCTATAACCGTCAATATTAATGTCGTACCAGTTTATTCTTTCACCCAGCATTTTTTCACATGACCGAACCAGGGCAATATGCTGCTATTAAGGCAGATGACCCGATTTTGGCCATTTTAACGCAATTAGTTTTTCAGTGATGAAACTTTTGATATCCGTTCACGGTAAATTCATTTCTTTGTTTACGCGTTAGTTAGAACTCTCTAAATCTTTTTATTATTAAACTTCTAAATGGGCAAAACCTGGTCTTCTACCCTACTTTTTTTATTAACATCAGGTTAAGTTTATCTATTTATGTATGCAGTCTGAGAGAGTTTTCTCGGCATCGCTACACAACTGCGTTGATTTTATTTACATTCTCGATCTAATAGCGTAATTTATTTATTTATTTATTAAAGATTCCCACAACAGGTTACAATCAAATAAAGTATATAAAAAGCATGCAAAGATAAGAGCGAGACTGCACCCCAAAAGCGTGTGTACACAACATTATATTCAAAAAGAGTAAACATCCAATATACTTGAACTACAGATAGTACATACAGATCAATATCACTATACACAATGCAGAAAGCACATAGTTACAATACATACATACAAAAAAAATACACAATTCAAATAGTTAAATTATGTAAAAACATTCTTGCAGACTTGCTAAAAAAAAAAAAATTGTAGACTTTCTTTACAAAGGGTATTCACTAATTTATTGACTGTTGGAAAGAGATTCGAGAACACACCTAACCTGAAATTTGAAAGCGACGCGCCTGGGTGTAAACAAATCTAATTCAATTCTGAGTTGGACCGTTTCATTATAATTCTCGCTTCCATATTATTCCGTAAAGTTATTTAAGCACTCGATTCTCGATTAACAAAGAAGTGTTATCGCTGTATCACAGGTAGACTCTGAAGCTCTCTACAAATGCGACAAAGATGTTGTCGAGAAAAATGGTCAGTATGTGACAAAATGTACTGTTTTTGAACTGAAAAGAAGTCAGATATTCGATATCATCGTCTCTATTTATATAGAACCTAAAACTATTGGTAAGTTTCGTGGACAGTTTTATGCAGTTATAATTAATCTGATTAGGTTTAAATTACTATTTGTTTTATTATTTTCAGATTTAAACAGTCTTGAAACAGAAAACTTGAACTTAACATCTTATCTAAAACTTAGTTTCGGAAATAAACAGCTGGACCAAAGGTAACCAAAAATATAAACCACTAGCTGACCCGACAGACGTTGTCCTGCCTTAATTATAAACATCGAATTCGAACAGTTTTTTTACATCCTATGTGACGATATTTGCAACGCTCATTCTTTCAATTTTAATTCCAACGTCATAAGGTTACATTATAAAAGTTGATATTATCCAAAGCACTAACATTACATGAGAAATAATTTTATGTAATGGTTAAATGTTCTTAAATTTTGAAATTTTTACACCATTTTCTTTTTTTTTTTTTCTTTCATAAGAACCTTCTCCTGAGTATAACAAACACAACAAAAAAAATTAGCGAAATCGTGTGATAGCGTGACCAAGGGAAATAGAGATTCAGTTTTATATACATAGACTACAAATAAAATTAATCCATAACTAAAATCATATCGATATTAGATAGCTAAGGGCAATATTGGACGGTTCATTTTTTTATTATTCGCAATAGAAAACATCGCTTGGAGAAATTTATCGATTACCACCCACAGCCACGAAACGATATATTAAAAGCCGACAATTGAACCCGCAACCCCTCAGACGATTTAGCGGTTATAATGTGAATTTTATTGACAATATTGTGTTTTAACAGCGTAACAAGCATATTACGGAAGAAGGAAGCCGCGGTTCCCCTGTGGGTCATCATAATAGCTACATTAGTAGGCATACTCATCATGCTCTTAATTGCATTTGCACTCCATGAGGTAAATATAAATATATACATCATAATATTACTTCTTTATGACTTTAGTCTTACATAAAAATCGATGCATACTTGGATAATAAAACTAACAGCACCTATAATTGACGGCAATATAAAACCAGTTAATTTATATAATACAATAGGTTATGAATCAAAAGTATTTAACTCAATTTATAATATGTTATCTATGATAAGTCAGTCATTGCTTTCGAAATGCAGGTATAATAATAAAAATAATATTTTCTCATCACACAGAATAATGTCTTAAGTGCTAGTCTGTTACAAACATAATTATTTCAATTTCATTTTTGGTGTAAGACTGGTATAAGATGCCTAACCCTTAATTTGATAAAGTCCGGTGTGACGGACACTTATTTAAAATAAATCCTGCCAAGTTTTTATTTCATGTTCATCAATTTCTAATCATTTAAATGTTTATTTATACCATAAACAAATAGTAAAAAAGAAGTAATAATTGTGGCAACATTGCATATGTCAGTTGGGACGCAAAATGTCTGCGAAAAGGCGGCCACCTTTTTTGCTCAAGGTATTTATAATTGTTTTTCTTATTTTTTTGTGGAAAAATGAATTGAGTTATAGATTTATTTATTGCTAATAAACATTTCAATAATTATTTACAGAAACATGCGCACTTTATTTCATTTTTATGGTGTTTATTTGTAACTAAAATGTTTTGTCCGTCACAGCGGACATTGCTAATTGTATAGAAAAGTAATACTTTATTACTATGTCCGCTGCGGCGGACAACGCCAAAATGTGTGTGCTTCTGCTTGTTTGGTTATGGCTCTGAGTTTGTTTTTTTTTCTTTGCCAACAGCCTAATTGCGCAAGTAAAATTATTGCTTTAGTGCCGAATGAACATGCACCTTCCGATGCTAGCGAAATATCAGATTCGGAAACTGAATTGCATGATTGTGCAAGGCAAACAGGTCGGCTACAAGAAAACAGACTGAATCCGTCAAAGTAAAGAAACCGCATGCACCCCGCCCTTTGAGTCCATTAAAATACGACAATATAGGACATTTCCCGAAGGGAAATGGAAGAAGGACGCTGCAGGTTCTGCCAAAAGAAAACTGTCGTGTATTGCATAAAATGCAACACATGATTATGTTTCGTGACAGGAAAAGCCCCCAGAAATTGTTTTTTAAATTTTTATACAAAATAAACTGTACTTCGGTATCAATTAGTTCTAAAATGTTCATTTCTGTATTTTTCTTTGTAAAAATAACTAAACTACTTTGTAAAAATAAAAAATAACTGTTTGTTTTTATTTTCCGTAGTTTGGCAGTGTCCGCCTCAGAGAACATATAAATCTGACCATTAATTTCACAGTAATTGGCAAGGTCCGCTGTGACGGACACCAGTTTTCCCAGCAGTGGGCTATTGTAGATTTTTTTTTTCATTTTTCCAGAACTTTATGAAATACTCCTGAAACCACAAAATTGTCAAAGTCATATATTTTGAATATTTTTATCGGTGCCAAATTAAGGGCTAAGTTAGATCAGATGATAACCTGTATTGTAAGGTCATCAAGACTCCCGACAAAAGAATAACATAATTAATTTTATAACTAACTACTTAAGTAGTAGATATGGAAAACTATGACATCCATTTTTACTAACCTTGAACAAGGCATAGCCTTAATAGGAAACGCCTATTATTACGAATCGCCTGAGCAGATTAGTTTTTACCAAATAAATATTTTTTCTTTTATCCCTTGACATATTTATGACCTGTCATATACACAAATGCCGCATGAAGAATATCATAATTTCGATATTGTTTATATTTTTAATCTTTAGATATTGCTTAATTTCGTAAGGCGATTCCTAAATATTTAGTTGACAGAATTCGGCGACTCCTAAGTTTGGTTAAAACGGGCATAATTGTTATACCTGTTTTCACTACAAATAGAAGTCGCTTAAATATTTAGGAATTGCCTTAAGTAAAAATGACTACCCTTATGACATGCGTTATACCGCGCCTTGCGCTAAAGATTTGCGTTATAAGACAGATCACAAATGTGTAAAGGAATTATTTTATTTTTTTTATATAAAGTAGAACCGACTTCAATCTTTAAAAAAATGATAAATAATACTTATTTCAAAAGCGACTCATTCAAGAAAATACTATTGAAGTCGAGAGGTTTTTTATAGGTTATTAAATAATAGGCGCCCGACTTTAATAGCATTTTCTTGAATAAGTCGCTTGTGAGATAAGTATTATTTTTCACTTTTTTAAAGATTGAAGTCAGTTCTACTTTATATAAAAAGTTTTTATTTCATGCTCTTTAGTGATATTGATATTTTTTTATATAATAGGTAACACTAAAAATATAAAATATCTATGTAAATAGAAATATTTAACATAGTGAAAGTATTAGAATGGAGGATTTTGTTTATTTGCTCGACATACTTTTTTCCAATAACCTATATTCATATATTAAAGAGAAAAGATTAGATTGCTAGTTTGTTTGCATCGGATAGGCCCTGAAACTATTGGACCGACTGACAAGTCTTTTATCTACGGAAAGCTACATAATATGCGACGGGCTTATAGGCTATATCTTTACGCAGGCGAAATCGTGGAGAAACAGCTAGTTCGATAGATATTGGTTCACTATTCAAGAAGAAATTTATGAAATTACCTACCCCTATATATATAACACACACGTTGAACGTACAAAACCTTTCTTTCAGATTTTGAATAAATTCTAAATATTTTATTTTTTAGCTGAAATGGCCCATGTTATAACATTTCATTTTAATATTTAAGTGATATCTATTGGAAAACGTATTTTGTTTTGTTATAAATGAAAAACTACTTATTCGATTTCGATAAAATTTAATTAGGAACTACTCGATCCATCAAACTGTCGAATAAAAAAAAATTTGAAAATCCGTCAACAGTTAAAGAAAATATCGGTGAACATAAAAAATATATATATACATCGCCGTCAAACATATACCCTCCTCCTTTTCAATTTTGAAGACGGTTAAAAAAGCGTTTATTTGTGCGCACTAAAACGTAAATAATAATAAAAGCTTATTTTTAAAAATACTTTTTTTTCAATTTATTTTTCTTTTTTAGTGGTCTTATTCTATTCATTTCTGACATAGCCTATTTTTGCAAGGTATTTTGCCTATTATTTTATATTTGTTGTTGTTCTCATAAAGACAGATCTAAAGAGCCCAAACAAGATAACAGTTGCGTTATTTCATTGCTAAGTTCCTATGACCATCTTCCAACTGCATCATCTCGAGACCTTGGCATGGAAAGCATCTAGTACTAAAGGCCTCATAAAGACGAAACTGTGTTCTAAATATGACAGTTGTGTTCTAAATATGCCAAATAGTATCGGTAATGTCGCCTTAAACTAATGACAATTTTAATGGGCGTTTGTGCAACTGCGTATAAAAGCTACAAATAAAATGTGATTTTTCATATAATTTCTTTTCAGTGTGGCTTCCTGAAAAGGAAAAATAAAGAGAAACTGAAAGAATTGAAGCGTAATGTTCACAGGCAAAGTATGGTGAGTCTTAAACTTGAAATATTTTCTTTAACCTAACGTTATAGAAGTCTGAAGCATAATTTCTATCTTACTCATAACTTTTATTGATATCTAAAAATTTGGCTCATATTCATACGGGGGAGATTAAAAAATGTTAATGCTTTTACTACCATATGTGTCACAAAATAGCTTATCAAATGTCAAATATATTTAATCATACAGTACTAGAAGATAAAATACGACAATAGGGTACTATAAAGTTTCGTCAAGCAGAATGGATTTTCTTAAAAAAGTTGGCTTACCCATAAGTTCTGCTTAGCCTCTACTTCAATGTTGACTCTATGCTGGAGGATATACAATCGTAGTTAATTAATACAACGCTTTAGTCGTAAGTTAAAGTATAGTCGCTATGTTTTATAGTATTTATGATAGTTATTTCTGGTGCTTCTCGTAACTTACAGAGATCTAGTCATTGATCGTTTGTAAGATTATATTGAATTAGACTTGTTGCTAATTAACATTGTTATATTTTAGGTAAGTAAATAGAATAGAAAATTCATTCTTGTTAACATTACACAAAGTTACATTTACAAATTTAAAACATTTTTACAAAATAATGTAACAATTGGCGGCCTTATCGCTTAAAACGATTTCTTCCTTGTTCTTCTTCGAAAGAAACTAGCAAATATATAAATTTGATAAATGTTGTATTCACATCACTATAATCATATTTGCCAGATTTTATGAAGAAAAACTAGTCCCCATAGTTTTATCCATATTAATATTGTACTCCATAGTCTTATCCATATTAATAGTTTACCGTCTCTCAATAACACGACCACTACTATAAATTACTAGTCTACCAAGGGTCCTCTAATAATTGAATCATTTACTTTCCAGCGGCGCTCAGCTATTGAACGTGAAAGTAAACGCTTCACCAAAAAATTAGATGAAAGGGAACTTATCGAAGAGTCTGATGGCAGCGAGCCATCGTCACCGAAGACCGCCGGTTGTAAACCACTATCTACTACTGAAGGAGAAACAGCAACAAAATCACCTGAAAAAGATATGCCCAGTGCGGGAATTTGTGAAGAATTACCTACAAATATGACCAAATCATATGACAAAAATATGTCCAGTGAAGAAAAATCACCAAGAGATATGATCGATGATAAAAAAATTAAGTAAGTATCAAGCATTGTTAACGTAACGCTTTTTCGATAGGATGGGTATAAGAAGGTTGAATTTCGAAGCGCGGCAAATGTCTGCCAATCAGAATGATTCTAGTATTATACCATCGGATGGTCCACCAATATCCATGACCCTATTGTTTTGCATTTTACAACTAATGGTTATTGAAAAAAGACTAAATATAAATTTTAATATGTTTGGCCATCATCGGTATTGGTAGATCTACTCAGCGCAAATAACAATCAACACGCGCTTAACCAGTTGGAACTTACTATTAATAAACGGATCTTAATCCATAACAGTGCTATTAATAAAGAAGGTTTAGCGTTAGAGTTAATTTACGCTAAAATCGCAATAAAAAAATAAATAAATAAAAAAAATAAAAATGTATTTATTGATACAAATAGTTTAACAAAAGTATAGTGTACGATAATAGTCGCAGTAGTTTAAAAAGAAAACTGAAGTGCAACCATTAGCGCCCACCTCCAGGTAGTAAATAATGATTATGTTCCTTATTCGACTATATTATTATAATTATTATTTGTAATAATTATTTGAGTTAACAGAACAAAATTAAAATTCTAGTATTAATTCAAATCCATATTATACAGAGAATAACCTAACTACTACCTTCTAGGAGTGAATATTACTCCCGTTAACTCGTACTAGGTTAAACTTTGCTAAGTCTCTGTTTAATAATATCAATTATGACTAATACTAAGTGCAGTCTCAGCGTAAATTTACACCAACAATGCAACAAGCATATCAGCGATAAATGCATGCCCAACGTTAGTATCATTAAAACTATATGCGTTAGCATACTATCGTAAATCTCAACAATAGACTTTACCTACTACGTGCTATTTCAAATCTAAATGGAATTAAGACACTACATCAAATTAACCGTCAATCATTAAGTTATCGTAATTTATGTATATCACACTATTTTTAAAAATTACCCATATGGAAATATAGTACCTCGTTATTTTTTTATTCAGTTTTATATTCACTTTCAATAGGAAAGAGCTCATCATACTTGGACTACAGAAGAATATAGGTACCAGACAATACCCGCCGCCGAAGCCGCCAAAACCTAATTTACAAGCAGCGGATATAAAAACGCCAGATGATGGACAAGAATGAAATAAAATAAATGGAAATACCTTTATACATATTAAATCTATCAAACTAACATTGATTATGTGATAACGAAATATAATTTATGTTGAATAAAGTATGTCGGTAACAAGTGTAATTTACTAATTACTTTAAAAGCATTTCTTTTGTCATTGGCAAAATAACACCATTTAATTGGTGTACCTTCTTTCATTTGTATTTTATTCTGTTGTGATCTGTTAATAGGCGTCGTTCTATTATTTTGCTTTACACTGCTGCACGGCAGATTACCACAATGTCAAATTTCATTAGTTTATTATAATTTCTACCTTTACTTTTATTCTTTGTTAATTATTTAACCTACTTTAAAATCGATAAGTAGGATTATTTCTTACTTTTTTAAAGTTTGAAGGCGGTTCTATGTTTTGGTATCTTTTTACACTATTATATTAATGTACACTTTTCATTTTAATTTTAAGGCCTGTAATTCTAAAACAAAAATGGACGACCTCGCAATTAATTAAGTGAAGTTCTTTCTGATATCTAAACTTTACTCAAAAGTCTTCTTATTAGTGTCATAGAACTCTACACTTTTCAGAAAATAATTGCTTTAAAATAGTAAGAAGGAAAAGTAAAAAACAACTATGTATTTATATATTTTAATAATAACATGGACTGTGTAATTTAACATTAGAATAAACGTATGAAAAGTGTGGTTTAAATAAACAATGAGATAATGATTTCTATATAACGTTACTGTTTCACTTAGGTACTATCTCCTTTTCGCAAATAAACGCATATAAATGCGAACAGGTTACATCGTTTAGTTTACCATCGTTTTTAAATAGAGTGCCGCAATTTTCGTCATTTGAAGAATTATTGGGCTCGTTGTCTGCCCACGTGCTGTAACCGGCCTGTTCCAGAGTTTCATCTGAAAAAAATAAGGAAACCATAGTAAAGCTTTAAAAAATATATATTTTGCCATGTCTTGTAGTAGCTTCACTCGCCTGGGTTGCGACCGCCATGATTCTAGCCATAAGAGACATCTTATCGGTGTTATAAGGATATTTCTTTTCATTTTACTACTTTGACATGTAGTTTAGTACGACGAACGAACGATAAAGAATTACGATTACGGATTTGATAGCAGTGCTACCAACTTGGCCGTTTATCCCAAATTTATCACTCGAAAGCATGTCAAAGTAGTAATATGAATCGAAATATCGTCGTAACATCGCTAAGCTGTCGTATTCTATAGCTAGAATCAACGGTAGCCCTTTCACAGATAAATATAATTTGCAAAACTATTATATTTCCTAATTCAATGAATCAACGATTGTCCAAATACGCTAGAAAACAATGAAAATAGTTTGATAAATATTTTTGGAGAAAATAATGTTGCTTAGGAACAACACTGCGAATGAAAGAGTATACAAGGGTAAATGAAAAACTATAAAAATAAACTTGCATTTGTTATAAAATATTATATTTGTTTATATAGAAAAAAATGATAAAATCGACTTCTATTTTTAAAGCAACATAGTCAAAGGTTGTATTTCTTTGGTTATTCACACAAAACCAAACTAAAACAAAAACATAAAATTAAAATTTTCGGTTACTTTACATGTAATCTAATTAAAATGTTATATGATTATTAGTGTAATATTATTTAATTTTCGTCCGAAACGCTACTGCAGCCTTATGAAGGTGCGTTTTATTGAACTACATTTCATTTATCGCAAACACTTCTTCTTCATTTATTAATGGCTTATCTGCGCATTTGGCACAATTCTGCCAATCTCAAGTGAATTAATTAATTTCTACATGTAAAACGAAATGAATGAAAGATGGCGATGCCGCAGGCACTTGCGTCACCATTTTGCGAAAACCTGACAAGAGTACATCAAACTTCATGATTGATTATTTTAATTAAGATGCTTAGAAACTTTTTGGTGTGATATTTTCTAAATTCAGGAACGGAACGAAAGTTCAGGAACAACGTTACCAGGACGAAGTCGAGGGGAAATAGCTAGTTGATAATAAGTCAAATTAATCACATAATCCCGTGCTTGAAAATACCGCATTGTTTGTAATTTTGCAACAATTTTAAACCCTTCTCATAACCATTATAAATTACGTACTGAATATGGTTTTGAACACCCTTGGAGAGCCGTCGGTTGGTACTTCGGCTCTGAATCCAGCGAAGAAAAACCACCAAGTCTTCGCACCAGCAACTTTCGCTTCACTATTCATGAGCTGATAAACTGCATCATGCTCAGCCTGCGAGTTTAATACCACCAGATGAGCACCTTGCGCTTGGCACTCGGCATAAGCTTGATTCCAAGTATATGGAATACGAGGAATCTTGTAACAACTGCTGACGTTTTGACCTTTAGTGTAACCTGAAATCGATCAAATTAAATGCTATAAGAAACATAACTTACAGATCATTATTTTATTTCAAGTTTTTCAATCAATGCAGACAGATTGTCCCCTTATTATCTCACTAAATGGCTGGGTCGGCTCCTGACTCCTACACATGCACTCGTTTTCATTACCCTAGAGCAAATACTCTGATTGGTAAGAGTAAAGCTCGTTAATTGTATGGAAATTTATAGTTCTTAGAAGTTATTACTAGGGGCGCTGTGCCGGATTCCATACAAATTATTGTAAAACTTACACTTCGCACTCTGAAATCGTTTTGAAATAAATGCAGATAATGATTACCCTTACCTTTGCTGTATACGTCACATTCGCTGTTGTAAGGGATGGCCTTGGAATTGACCTTACAGATGAAAGGCAATAGTTGTGCACATCTCGCGGTCTCGATCTCACCCTTACGCGACACCACGTCACAATTCCGCACCCACGGTGTCAAAGAACTTTCAGTTCGGGGCTCCACTGAAACGATTCAATGAGGAAATATTAAAAAAAAAACATTTCCCGAAATCAAATTAATTTTCAAAACTCAATAAACAACTCATATTCTACTTGTACTTTTTCGTATTTGTATTGATATCTTAGTTTCGAACTTTGAAAATTTCAGTTTTTTAATATGTTAGTTAAAAAGAACGGAAATGACTATCTTTGGTCCATTCGTTTCCTGAAAACATCAACTATTGCTTTCGCTTTATAGTGCTTTCTATTTTAATTCTTAAAATACTTCATCATTACTACGTCACTTTTGAAATTAAAAAATATATTCAAATAAAACAATAGAACGACTGCAATTTTTCTCGCCTCTATTACTCTGTAAAACCTCTCCGGCAACTGGGACCGCATAAACTCGAACCGCGGTTCCAGTGGCCGGATTAATTTATTTTTAATATTTTTCTTCCAAGGACTAGTACTTTCCATAAAAGAATAAGAAAATTATATTGTTCAATCGAAAACAACAAAAAAGTATTTTTTTTTTAGCTACTCCTCTTGGAATCTGAGCAATGTACTGGATGTTATTTTGTTTGTTGTTTAATATTATATTAGAACACAAAATTAATGACGGGCCGCCATTTTATTAAAGTACTAGCCAAACAAGTGTATAGCTATTTTAACCAACCAGATGGCTGCGACATGTATACAGGATTTTTTTTATAAAATGCCGAAATGGTAATATTTCTCAATCTGTGGCCCGCGGGCCTCTAAGGATCCGAGTATATTTATAGGGTCCTGCATAGCCGTAGCACGATGAATGTGAGGCAGCGGAATGACAGCTCTATGTTGTCGAAATACCGCAATCCAACAGCGCAACGCAAAGGAGGGTAATGTTATTAGTCTATGTATGTACGTTTGTTCCTATATGAAATGTAGTGACTAAACGGCTTGGCTAATTTTGACTTTGTGAATATCACGAAACACATCAAAGTTCTTTTTATAGGACACCTCCCCTACATGTAAGGTGGGGATGATTTTTATTTTGCGATTTTCCTATAGTGTAGGATATTTTTGGATAGGTTTTTCAAAAAGATTAGAAGTGTGCAAAGACCGTTTTTAGATATAGAAGCTTGTCCGCAAATAATTAAGCTTTTATGTGCCAAGAACTACTTTGGACCGAGCTGTGGTTGACTTAAGTTCGCGATTTTTTGCTAATGGTCAAACATATCGACGCTGGAAAGGCAAAATGTATTAAGCGCCACTTTGGTCGAATATGAGTTATATATATCGTTAGAATCGCCTGATTTTTCTCTTTCGAATAGTCTAGGTAGCGACTTAATCTGAGCACTTTCATGGTGGTTAATACACCGGTGATTTTCGACTTTTTCGTATATTTTTTTGTATTAAATCCATTCATTTTTTAACTTTGGTTCATAAAGCGTACATGATAGTAACAAACTATTGATAAGTCATTTATACCTGCTTAAGCTTACAACTAGATTTTTGTTAAAACTCTTTACCTTTCCAATTTTCAAAAAAATAACGCAATAAAACATTTTATAGATTGGCAATTATTTTAAAATCTAAACATAAATCAATTTCCATGTAAATAAAATATATGTTTCTGTCGTTTAAAACATTTTACTTTTCTGCATGTTACAATTTTTTGGACGTTAAAACAATTTTATCGACAACATTTAATACTTAAATGGTCGATAATACAATTTTACCTGAAGCTATTCTAATGTGTTTATAGCACTTCAATTAATTTACTTAATGCAAAATTTATTGCATTTGTGAGTTAAACCTACCAAAAAAAACTGATAAATACGAAACTATGGTGGTTAGACGGTAGTTCAAGACTGTTATTCACAGAGACCGCGGCTGTTAGTTAGGGCCGAGAGAGTTGCGCGGGCGCTTCAGCCACCCGTGCACTGTCGTCGAGGGAGGTCACGCTTGCTGTCGCAATACGCTGTTCGTAAATAATTTTACCAAAAAGTGTTAGACAAAAGATTTGACATTGAACCCGATTCTAATGAACAGGTATGTATATTATTTAGGTATTGGATATTTTATAATTAATTAACCCAGTAAAATTTTTAATACAATTAGGTAAATAACTAAGCACTAATAGGTGTTTTACAATAAGCTACCAAAATATTTGGATTCGTATAATGAGTACTTACTTAACTAAAATACCTATTTTCTTTCTTATTAGAATGAAGACATAATAGTAGAGCATTCCGGACGTCTTGAGGGAACCAACAATCTGGTACGTCTTATATACTAATAGTTTTAATGTCCATAGTTTGTAGTTAGGTATATAAATAAGTCATTTGATCCGTTACCTACTTTGGACTGTTTACGTACCTAAACAAAAAATGATAACAATTATCTAATGCTTCATTTGTGTTTCAGGATCTGATCTCAACAATTCAAACGAAGTTAATATATTTAAACCATTGTCTCCGACAGTCATTATCAAAAGTCCTACAAAAGATGTAAATCTATTTGACCTTTTATTAGCTAAATATTTTATTTATTTTATAAAGCATAACCTACATTTTTAGTATGATATATTTATAGACGATATAATTATAGAAAGTAACAACTGATTTACTAAAAAAGAATTATTATTTGATTTATTTCAACCTTATTATTTCTTTTTTTATTGCCGTGGTAGTACAGTAGAAGTGTATGCGACTGCTGTGAACGAGGTTGTGGGTTCGATTCCAATTTTTCTTTGAAGTTATTCATTGAATTAATTAATACATTTGTGTAACGATGTATTGTTGTGTTATCTAGTAGACTGATGGCTGGTTGGGTTATTACATAGACGCCTTTGTTTTTGTAATATAAATATTTATTTATTGAATTTGTAGTACAATTTATAGAATCTTATGTATAGACATTAGTATAGACTTTTTATGTATGTAACGAACATTTTATATTTAAGATTATAAAATCAAATTAAAAATCATAGACAAAAAAAGTATTTATGTTGCACGCAACAATTTGTGTAATACGTACTTCTATAAAATATGTATTTTGGCGCAAAAATATTAATTCTAATGTGCACAAATTATTTTCAGGAAATTCGGACTGAAAAATCTTACGCGATTCTACAATGCGTCGAAATATTAAATCAAGTACATGTAACAGAAGTTTTAAGTAAATAGGTGGGAACATTTACTATTTTAACCGATTGTGTTCGTCTATAAGTATTTTTGTTGAAAGGCTTGGATTTTCTTACACCGTTTTGATCTATTTGTTTAATTTCAGATTTCTGAGGAAATTAATAATTTGGAGGCTGAAACCGAAAATATTGCGCATGAGCATGATATTCCAGGAAATGTGGAAGTGCGTTATTTCAAACACATGCATGTTGTTTCAAATATAATTAAATAAGTCGATAATATTATATTTAGTATTCAATTTCTGATAAATATATAAATAATTTTGTATTTGATTAGTATAAGTCTAAGTACAAGTACCTATTAACTTGTGATATCTGATCTCTAGGTATACTTAAAACTATTGCCTTTTCATTTTTTTAAGACTGATTGATCTCAGAAGTTTGTGCTTTAATATTTTGTTAATGCATAAAGTTGTATTCTTGATTTCGTGATTAAAAGTCCTTATAAAAAACTATTTTTGTGTTATTTAGTTTTACCCGTAACTTCCATTAGTGATAATTATTGTGAGATAATACTTAAAGCCTAGCGGTAACGTTAGCTTAATGCAAGATAAGACACTTTAGTTTTCATGGTCTGACTTGACTGGGCCTGATAAAACATTTAACTTAGACGTATTAGTATGCTGTACAGAATATAACACATTTTTCTAGCTCATTTTATGCAGCTTTTCGTTCGTTAAAACATGTTTTACCTGAGCACGGTGAGTACGGTCAATTTTACCTAACCAAGTCTTAACCGGACCGGACCGGACTTAAGTCAATTTTACCTAACCAAGATTATATATTGCATTGTATTAACTCCAAAATCTTGGACACGAAGACACCTAGATTTTTTTCTATTATTACATTTCATAGTAAGCGTTATTCGTAATAACTATTTTGATTTTCAATGAAAACGCTCAAGCAATTAATTAGTAATGATTTTTTTTGCAAAATTTGAAACTTCAAATCGCTCTACTCAACAATTCATATAATGGCGGTTAATACATTTTGCCTTTCCAGCGTCGATATGTAACTTTGAGCCGAGTGAGGTGTCTAGAAGGAATCTTCAATAACTTGAAAACTACCACACCTAGCTTTATGAAATAAAAACTCAATTAAAGAATATTTAATGTTGTTTAACATAGTATATAAAACCTTTTTATTTACTTTAGATAATTGTGTAAGAAAACTGGCAATGAAAATAATGGTTGTTTTTCAATTTAGTTCTAAAAAAATCAAAGCATTTGTTTCGCATTTGTTTTAGTTTTGACATAAAAACTACAATAAATATCGTGTGTTTGTCATACAAAAATTGTATTCTGAAGTCATCATGTCGTTAACCCCTGAAGAATGCACCAGGATCCTGACAATGCTTGAAGATGGGCGCAGTCAGCGCAATACAGCGAGAACTGTTGGTGTGAGTCTTTCCACAGTTCAGCGGGTACTCCAGCGTTTCCATGAAACTGGATCCAACCTAAGAAGACCAGGAACAGGCCGAACGAGGTGCACGACTGCGCGGGAGGATCGCTATATGGTGTCAACAATTTTGAGAAATCGATTTCTTACGGCCGTTGAGCTAAAAAATCACCATTTACGAGCTGGAGGAAACTATCTGAGTACAGATACAGTAAGGCGACGTCTGGCTGAAGCAAATTTGAGACCATTAAGGCCTGCAAATGGCCCAAAATTAGAAAGACACCACTTAAACTCAAGGCTGAGTTATAGCAGAAAACACGAAACTTGGACTCTGGATGACTGGTCAAGAGTTATGTTTTCAGACGAGTCTAGATTCTGTTTATACAAGCACGATGGGAGGAAAAGAGTGTACCGAAGACCGGGAGAGCGCTATAACCAAGCTTGTATAGAAGAAAAAGTACCATATGGCGGTGGCTCTATACACGTGTGGGCTGGGATTTCTTCCGAAAGCCGTACTGAGCTAGTAGTGATAGAAAATGGCAGTTTAACAGCAGAACGATATGTGAATGAAATTCTTTATGACTATGTTGGTCCATTTTTAGTAGATATGGGCGAAAATGCTGTTTTTATGCAAGACAACGCCCGCCCGCATACAGCTCAGATAGTGTTCGACTATTTTCACGAAGTAGGTATCACATGCATGGAGTGGCCAGCACGAAGCCCCGACTTAAACCCCATCGAACATGCATGGGACGAACTGGGACGACGTGTACGTCAACGGAATCCGCCGCCAATCACGCTGCGTGAATTGAAAGGAGCTTTGATCGAGGAATGGCAGAACATTCCGCAGCATCGCCTTAAAAACCTTGTGAAAGGTATGCCGAATCGCATAGCCGCAGTTTTGCAAGCTCGTGGAGGCAACACGAAATACTAACATGCGTACAAACGTCACATCTTTATACAATTCATATTTACGAAAATGTCAGAAAAACTACCTTTTTCATTCGTTTGACATTTATTGAAAATAGACAACTTTTAATTTGTATTTTTTTATATTCAATAAATTACAATTAAATAATCTTTAATTTAGTTTTTATTTCATAAAAA